ACTCACCCTGTTAAGATTGGGTTAGGAAGGCAAACCTATTCAACTGAAGTGCTCATATCTGGAGAAGGCCAGAACAGCTTTAAATTGGGGTTCAGAATTAACAAGAATTCAGAATAAAGTGAATTTTCATTGTCCACCTCACCAAGCTGCACTGTGTTAGTTTTATTTTGGTCTTTTTTTGGTTCCTGAAATGTAAAAGCTTTGGTAATGATCTGCAGACAGATGATAACAGTGAGGACTCTCATTTAACCTCAGCACTGAAGAGCTTCAAACCTGTGTGTCTGCACTTCTCCAGCACCTTCCAGCCCTTGGCTTCTCAAGGACTTTACCTCCTGACAAGAGACGTGTTCTAGCTGTGTTTGTGGGACCCAATCTCAAAAGCTTCCTGGAAATTCCTCTCTTGGAGAAATTGCTGCTTTAAACTTTGCCTTTATAACACCTAAAATTCTTTTTCCTTGTGAACAGACCAATTGATGTTGAATATGAAGAATTTCACTCTTGTTCAAGGCTTGGGCAGCTTCCAGAGCTGGTATATTACTATGGTTGTGAGCAGCTCTCCAAAGAATGTTGCATTAATTTACATTTTGCACTGTAATTAGATTGGATTTGAATGATGAGAGCTGCTGAATTCCATACATCTTTTGTTGAGGTTAGAAAAGGTGCTCATTGACTCTTGCCTCTCCTGAGCTCCACAGAGCAACCCTTGTGTTTCTAATCTGCTGCAGGAATGACGTGTATCATAACTACAGACAAATAAATCATCATGTACATAGAAGGAATGAACTCATCCAGTTGAATATTAAATCCCAGAATCCCATAATGGCTTGGGTTGTTCCCACCTTGTTCCACCCCCACTAGAGCAGGTTGTCCAAAGCAAGGACTCAGTCTTGATCTGAATTGTTGCTCTCATTTTATTTAGTTGCTCTGACTAAGATGAGTCAGTGGGAGGGAGTGAGTGCCATCCTCCTTTTATTTAATCCTTTTGAGTTTACCTTGACTTTTTCTCTTTTCTTTTATTTCCTTTTTTTTTTTTTTTTAAAGTATTTTCAAATGGCTCAAGTGGAATGTTCCATTTCATATCACACTTAAATTTCTTTTCAAATGGTAATTTTATGATTCTCTTTTCAGGGAAAAAAAAATCCCATAGCATGTCCATTTTAAGATTTTGTTCAAAAGAATGCACAGTTGGTTTTGTCTGGGTCTTTCCCTTTCCCTTTCCCTTTCCCTTTCCCTTTCCCTTTCCCTTTCCCTTTCCCTTTCCCTTTCCCTTTCCCTTTCCCTTTCCCTTTCCCTTTCCTTTCCCCCACCCCTTTCCAGCAGCCAAACAAATGCCATCAGCTGTTCACACAAGCCCTCATCACTGATCCAGCTGATGAATTCCAAATCTTTCCTTGGAGATGGGGGAGCTGTTGAGAGCCCAGAATTGAGTTGTACTCTATAATTTTGATTCCAAGCCTTATCCTTGCCCAGTTCTGGCCAAAATTACAGTCCTTGTCTCAGAAACTGAGGCCAGTAATGGAATCAGGGGAGGGTAAAACCATCCAGTATTCTCCAGGTCAGGTAATTTGCAAAGAGATCCTTGGAAATGTGACCATCACAAATTGGGAAAGTTCACACTCAGCCAAGAGGGACCTTCTCCCATGGTGGACCAACATGTTTGGAATTTTCTCCAAGGCCAGGGAATTCCTGGAACCCCCTGTTCAGACTCCTGCCTGTGAACCAAACAGGACAGGAGGGGAGCTGGAATATAGTGGCAAGCTATCTCATAGTTGATGGGAAATACTTGATGGGATGGAATGAAAACCTGCATACATTCCAACCCAAACATCACATTACACACATAAATCTATTACATGTAATAAATTCCTTCATCACTGCCAACTGAGGTCATATTTCTACCAGATCCCCACATTTTTTTTAGCTGGGAGCAGATAGGACATAATGAAATATTATAGATTCTAATGGCTTCATGCCAAAGAGCTCAGAGTTAAGTGGCTGATAAGAAACAGCCATTGAATTAGGTACCCCAGAGCAATAAATCTCTAAGAGCTGGGGGAGGCAGATTCTTGGCAGCAGTGCCCTGTTCAGTGTTGGGGTCTTGCTGCTGGTGTTTAACTTCCTTTGTAAAATGAGTTTCACAAGTGGATTCAGGTAAAAAATGACAATAGGGTGCAGACGCTTTTCAGGAGAGAAAGGTAAATATGTGGGTGTTGGTTCAACCCTAGTTCATTTCCCATCCAATACTGGGATCCCTGTGCTTTAAGAGCCACTTCCTTGATTTGGAGCTGATTAAGTGATAATTAATAATTAAATTAAACTAATAATTAAACTCCTGTTTGTCACCCAGGACACCTAATTATCAAGGAACTGAAGTTCTGAATTGAATTAATTGTCCCATCCCTGTTCATGGGCAGGTTGGATGGGGCTTGGAGCAACTTGGTCCATGGAAAGTGTCCCTGCCCATTGCAGGGGGTGGAACAAAATGAGCTTTGGGGTCTCATTTAACCCAAACCATTCTGTGATTTTATGATTATTAATGTTTGGACAACAAAATGTTCTTTAGAGTGTCCTGTCCTCCCCAATAAGCACATCAAATCACAGACTTTACAAGCCAAATATTTTCCTTTCTTTTTTCCTCCCTCTATCTCAGTCATGGTACAATAATTGATACCATTGGTACCATGTAGATATAAATTATGTATATTTGCTCTGAAAACCAAGGACAGGGGTGATACTGGCTGATTTCAGCATTCCAGGTTACTTCCTGTGCCCTTAGGCTGTGTGTGGGAAGGATTCAAGGTGTTGATCTAGACTGGAGATGTTTCCAAGGGGAGAGGATTAATCAGTGTTGATGGGTGGGGATGGACTCTGGGGAGGGTTTCTCACTTAGAGCCATGAAAAGGGATCTGTTGCCACACACAGGAAACTTTTTCCTCCTGGTCTTTGGGTGCAAGGCCAGTCTAGTTCTGAGCTTTCCACACCTGTACCAGTGCCTGCCAGGAGCTGGTGGAGTCCCCAGCCCTGGAGCTGTCCAAGGAAGGGGTGGGTGGAGGCGGCACTCAGTGCTCTGGGCTGGGTGACAAGGTGGGGATCAGTCACAGACTGATCCATGGTCTTGGAGAGCTTCCCCAACCTCAGTGATCCTGAGATTCTGTGACCTGGGAAATGGCTGTTTTTGAGATGACCTTGCCTTTGTTCTTATGATCCAACAAAAGAGAAAATCCATAAGTGGTTCTACATCAGGAATGGTTTCTCTGTGAGCGCTGTCAGTGTCAGAAGAGGTTTTTGGGCTTTCAGAAAGTAGTGCTACAGCTGTGACACCATGCCTAGGCTCTTTGTGCCATGTGTCCTTGGGATTCTTGGACAACCCAGCATCTCTCTGAGCTGAGGACAGCCAGATTCCCTCTGTGGATTGTACTGGGTCACAGTTCAAGGTTTATATCCCCAGTGTGAGGGTGTAGATATAACCAACTGCATGTGGAGTAAGGATGATTTAACTGCTAGGATTGATCCACTACATGGGAAATTGCTTTAATGTCATGGAGATAACAAAATTCCTCATCCTGGTATTTTGCCATGGAAACCACAGGGGATCAAAGGAAGAAGATGTCATTTGCCACCTTTAAACATGATTATTTCTAATAGAGAAAGATGCTTTTTCAGTCATGAAAACTGAATTTACACAGAGAAGCCCTAAAAGCCAAGATCAAAACCTTCTGGAGGTTGTGATTTCATGTTCCATCAAATTCAGAATAATGGTGTGTGCCTAAGAAAAGCCATGCTTTGCTCTTTGCCAGCCAGGGAGGACACAGAGGACACACAGCTGGGACCAAAGAGAATTGAGCTGATTTTTTTTTCAAGACTTCTCAGACCACCTTCATCAAACCCACTTACATTCATTTCTGAGCAGTGATTGGAGCTCCTCACGTGGAAGATGTTTTTTGGCAGGATGGGATTATCCTCACCTCTACAGACACAGAATAAATGTAATTGGCTGCTTTTCCCTTTCCCCAGCCCTCACAACCTGTTTTCCTGATTTCTGGCTTAACCCATGGAGAGATCCAGTGGAAGTCAGTACAAACAGCTTTGCTTCTCAGACTGACCCAGAGCATCAGACCCGTTGCTTTTAAATGAAAATGGTTAATCCATGCAGAAAGAGGGACAAATATAGCCAAGACTTGTCATTTCAAGTTGTAGGTTTGGCCTTTATCAGCAGTGTGACCACTGGGTGTAAATCAGTTTAAGAATGGGGTGAGTGGCCAAAGTGGCCCTATGGACATGGAAAAGCTCACTGACCTCTTATTGAGATTTATTTTCACTGCCTGATATTCGTGTGCATCAAATAATGTGTCTTTGATATGAACGATTGTTGTTCAATTGCTGTATCAAACAAGGCTTGTGGTTGCCTGCCAGGATTTTCTCCAGCACAGAGGAAGCTCGTGCTTTGTTCTGAGCAACAAAGATATTTGTTGGAGGATATTCCAGCAACAATCATCACATCTATATTTGTGTGTCGAGCTCTACGTTCCTGTAAATGCAGGAATAATTTCACACTTGTGGACAGTGTGTTTGGAATTTCATGGTTGTCACCTCCATCCATCAGTCCTGCCTCCAAAGGACCATCCATGCACCCAGCTCATGCAGTGCTGGAGGTTTTGGGGTCATTTATGTTGGATTTGGCATTGGTTCTTCGGATGTTCTCAAAGAAGGTCTCCTCAGAACTCTCATCTACTTGAAGATGTTGCTGCTCACTGTAAGGACTAAATGGCCTCGAAAGGTCCATTCCAACCCAAATATTTCTATGATTCTCTGATTTTAAGAGTGATTTGGTCTATCTGGTTAACTTTTCAAAGTATGAGGTGATTATGCTTAACTTGAAGCAAGAACCTCCTCAGCTCTCTACTTCCTCCTTAGTTTTCCTCCTCAGTTTTCCTTCTCTGTGTTTACTCCAGGACTTTGAGGAATCAGTTAAAATATCAGGTGGAACACGTCAGACACAATGTCTTCACAATGGTTTTATTGCTTGTTTTCAGCAGTGTCAACCACAGAGAAGAACCCCCTCTGGAGCAAGGAGGCGAACCAAATACAAAGAAGAAAAAAAAAATTAAAATAAAAAATAAAAATAAAAAATAGCCATTTCATTGCATATATACAGAGTCAGACCAAAAATAAATAACATCAGGCAAAAGGCCATGAGACAAGGCAGAGATTTCACCTGTGCTGAGCAAGCAGGCCTGTTGTCGCTGGCATGGAGGATACATCACAAGCACCTGGTACAGAGAAGTCCACAGAGACAGATTCTCTGCTCACAGCCAGTCCCCACCACCCTCTGCTGTCAAAGCCTATTTACAGGAGGGCAGAGCAGAGGTGTTTGCAGCTTGAGAAGGGTCAGTTGGCACCAGCTGCTGACCCACAGCTTGAGGTGTTTGAAACAGGCTCTGAAAAATGCACTTTCGAGTTCAAAAACGCCTTTTAGAACTCGATTTATCGTCATCGTCATCTGAGTATCAAAAATGTGTGTGTTATTTTTGTATTTTTTTTTTCTTCTTTTAAATGTGCTCTTCAGATTTCCTCTATGTACAAAGGAACAATATCCACAAAACTTGGGTATAAAACACTGGTGCTCTGCTGCTGCCAATGTGCGTGTTCCCAGGGTCTGGCCCTCAGAAAACCAGTGGGCATTATTTTCCTTACAGACCTGTAGCCTCCAGTCCCAATGCTTGTTTTGTCCCCTGTGATTTCACAATAACAGAAATAGAAATGACCAGAATTTCAAACCCAGGGCTCTTCAGGATATAGCACAACATCATGCAAGTTAGGACATTCAGGAAGAGATGGAAAAGATGGTCCATGCTCCCAAGAAACTCCTGTTAAAAGCTATCATTTACATCTGCACAGGTCTCCAGGGGAAATAACAAGGTCAGTCACTGCAATTAAACCTCATCAGACTGATATGCAAATACTGGGTTTGGAGAGGGGATGAAAAGCTGACTGACTGAAAGGCAATGGATTGAAATCCACATTTTGGGACATCTGACTCCACATGCCAGTCTGGGATTTGAATCTTTTCCTTATTACAGCAGTTTAAGTGCCTGAATGATGCCAGCAGAGTCATTCTGGATGGCTGTGGGTGTGTGTGACCCCTGCTCTTCAAGGTTCACCTCCAGTGAAGCAGCTTTGTGGTGCTGGCCCCATCAGCATCGGGGTGGGAAAAGTGCAAATTTGCATTGTGAGCCAGGGAATTCAGGATTGCAATCTCTGTCCCCTGGAGTTTGGCACATTCATGGGTGCAGAGATGCCATGGGGGGAAGCACAAGGCTGGGAGGGAACCTGGGCTGGGCCAAACACCCAACCTGAAAGCAGAAGCTGGGACACAGAGGGAGGAATGTTCTATGTGGGCTTTCCTGCTACAGCTGGATTCACCTTCCAGAGAAGGGACATTGCTCCTGATTTCCACACACCGTTTATCAAACCAAGATGGACCTGTGTGGTCAGAATAAGATAAGCTTCATGAAGACACACGTTGGCATTTCCCAGTTTGAGAGATTCCCTTTTAGCCTGAAATTATTTCGTATTTCCTTTCCCCATATTTCCTCTCCCATTGTTTAAACCCTGGGCTGAAGCTGGGAGGAATGGAGACAAAAGAATCCCACCAAACCCCTTTAATCCCTGCCATGGAGCCAAGTGGTGTTCATTCACTCCTGAGCTTTCTTTGGAACTTCACTTGGCTTTTGAAAAACTACGGCCAATCTTTCATTAACCAGCAGGTACATTTCTCCCTGAAGGAATTTCCATCAGATTGGAGCAGAGATTTGGGTTTAATCCCTCTGCCCATGGAGCCTTGTGGCACAGACACGACCCTCATTGCTTTTGAGACAAATGGGAACCCGGTGGGATGCAGAGGAAAAAGGAAATCTGATGATTAGTTGATGTATAAAATGTCTTTTCTCCAGAAACACCTTCCTGGAGAAAAATAAAACTTGTTTCCTAGCAAAAAAACCCCAAACAAACCAAAAATAAAACAAAATGCTCAGATCTTTCGTCTTCTAGCCTTTCCCCCTGTTCATTCCACAACTGCAGTAATGCTGCTGCTGCTGCATACATAACTCTGATTTTAAAACTTGCTTGATTTTAATGCCCCTAAAATTCTGCAACAGAATTTCTTTTCTAAACCCTAAACACGGTCATATTCTCATTTCTTGCTGTTTTTGAGAGGGTCACAAAGCAACACAGGTTGCAGCTGAACACAAATATCTACAGTCTAATGTTAGCATTGAACCTGATACCTCTAGACCTTGAAACAATAATTTATTTTTTATATTTTAATTATTCTATACTTGTTAATAATTTTCAATAATTCCAGCACTGAGGTATAGAACAGGAGGGGCTCACTCTATCCCTGATGTAAAAAAGGAGTAAACAGCTCCAGAATGAAGAAAAAGGAATTATTTCGAAGGCAAATCCCAGTTTAGTGCTGGTGTAATTCAGGAGTCGCCACCGTGAACTGATTGGTGCAAGCAGGACCAGAATTTGGCTTTGCTTCTGTGAAGAGTTTTGCAGCCCAAATTAATGATCCTCAAACATATCTGTGCCTTTTAGCAGAGGCAGAGGAAGTTTTAATACCGTGTAAGAGGCACACCTCTGATCCCGTTATGCCGCACGTGGGTGCAGCTGCCCTGCTGGAGCCAGCTCTGTGTTACACTGGGGCCAGGACAGCTTGCTCCACGCTGTCATCTGCAGAGAAATCCTTGGATTGTGTTTTGTTGATGAGAAATGATGTTGGATGAGGAACAGGGGAGACAAGGCCAAGTTAGGGAGCCAAATTCCTGCGCTAAGCCGGTTAAATAGGGCCCGGGCCCAATGTCATCATTCACTTGATTGCTCACGTCCCCAGAGTGAAAAGCTGTGCCTTCACCCCCAGCTCCTCTGTTTTCCTGGAACACCAGGCCAAGGCAGCTGGGCTGGCAGCTCTGTGTGGCTGCCATTGCCATGCCTGGCACAGCAGGTATATTCAGCACGCTCATTTAGTCCCCCAAGCCCCCCTGAGAGCAGGAGGGCGACGTGGCTGGATGTTCAGTAATGAAATAATTGTGGGTAGGGTGCCTGGGGGCTCAGTTCTGGCATGCTGATGTACTCCATGCTTTTTGAAGGAGTCCCTCAGTTTAGGCAACATCCCATCTTCAGGCTCCTGTGCAGAATAGCTCACTGGGGAATCTGAGAGGCTGCAGAGGAGCCTGTGGGGAGAGCAAGTAACCAGCTGGGTTTTCCCCCTGTCACATCTCCAAAAGGCAAACCTTTCCTGGCTGTCTTTGGCATAGGGTGGTGCTGGCACGGGTGAGCACGGGGCTGGCACACAAGAGAAGCTGCAAACACGCAGCAGAAAGCCCTGCAAATGGAGAGGGAAAGGGAGCACGGGGAGAGGAAGGGGAAGGGGAAGACCAGAGGGAAAATGCTCGATGTGTCTCAGTGCTGATGGCTCACAGGCCTTCCCCCAGCAAGGCTGCCTGGAACAGATGGGAAGGGATTCCCTCACATCCCACAGAGGAGGCTGCTGGCAATGGTGCTGCACTTCTGCTCCACAGCTCTGTGCTCCAGCTCCTCTGCTGCTTCTCTGGGACCTGAAATTGCAGTTCACACCTCAGGCACCTCAGTGCAAGGTTGGGCCGTGCTCCTCTGCAGCCCATCAGTTTTGTTGGGTACAAAGATTTACCGTGACAGATGAACAGGGGGAAAATGGCTTTGCAGCCTGATGAATCCAATCTTTCCCAGACTGACACTGCTTCAAAACTCTGAACCAGTGAGACAAAGCATTTTACTCCAAGAGGAACAACTTGGAAGCTGAGACAGAATTTTCCCTTGCTTCTTCTGGGATTCCTTGAAGTTAGTCATGCACCTGGAAAAATGCAGGTCAAATCCTTGCTTTGAACCAGGCACAGGAGAAGAACTGCTGGTACTGATGGGATTTCTCCAGTATTTCCTGGGTGAGTTCTAATCCAGGTCTGCTCTCAGCAGAGCAACACGAGCACCAAACACAGAGAATCACAGAATCACAGAATATCCTGAGTTAGAAGGGAACCACAAGGATCATCGAGTCCGACTCCTGGTCCTGCACAGAACAACCCGAAAAATCACACCAAGTGCCTGAGAGAATTGTCCAAACTCTTCCTGAATCTTGACCATGACCACTTAAAAGGTTTTTGCCTCTGAGAACCTCATGGATTTCAATGGGATAGTTTCAGGGGTGTCAAGGCATAAGGGCTTCAATGCAAGAAAAGTGGGGATATTTTGAGCATCTTCTTGTTTTCTCTGCATTTTGGGAATCAGGGAGCTGCCTTTTTATGATCTTATGGCACAGCAGAGCTGGATCCTCACTGTTGATGTGGGCTCAGTGTAAAGTAGCCATAACAAATCTGGCTCACACCTGGCCAGCCTGGGGTCACCAGCACTGTAATTCCAGGAATTTTCACATCTTCCTATCCTCTCAGGACCTACAGGCTGGGTAGCCATGGCTACACTGTGACAGGATCTGAGCTGGCTCCCTGCAAACTCAGGACTGCATGTTTGCCCTTGGTGAATCACAGTTTCTCAAGGCCCTTCATTGACTCCAGCCCCTCACGCTGTTCTCAGTCCCACACCTGGAGAAATACTTTGGAAGCATCCAGCTCAGCTGGTGACAGGCTCTGGGGATGGTTATGGCATGGAACTGTCAGGAGTCAGGGAGGAACTGGATCTGCAAGTCTCCTCCTGGGCTCAGCGTGGTTTGTTGGCATCCCTTGCTTAGGGCAAATGGCCCCCAGCCCCACCAGGCTGCAGCTGCTTCCCTCCAATGAACTGCATTGCACTGTGGAGAAATAAATCTGGTAAGCTGAGATCTCTGAGCTCCACAAGGGGAGCCCAGCTCCCTCTCCAGGTGCCTGTGTTGGTGACCCAGACACTCCTTCACGAGGATACCTTTTAGCAGGGTGGCAGCAGCCCAGTTTCTGAGGATACACATGATCTGGGCAGGGATATCCCACTCTCAGCATAAAACTTTTTCAACCCCACTTGATGCATTTGAGTGAGACACAAACATGAGCATCTGTATCCGTGATTTTTCTGTCTTCTGACTGAGTTTGGGACCGTGGGGTTGCCTCAAATGAGCAGGACTGCCTTTAACCTTTCTCCTTTGCCTTTGCACCATGAAAACGAGAATTAAAAAACCCTACTCCCTTGGTTTTAATGGGATCCATGTGCATTCCTCAAGTAGGAATTGCCCGTATGGGAACTAACAGGCCCTCAGAAAAGAGGTAAAATGCACATGTCCAAGGATGGTGGGGAATTAGCACAACACATCTTAAAACATCTAACAGTGCCTTCATATAGCATGAAAGCTCCCCACAAAAGCTGAAGAAGAAATCCTTTTAATGTTCCTTCACTCCTTCCTCCCTCCTGGAGTGCCAGTTGTGTGCTGAGACAACCCTGTTCTGATGACAGAAATGTTACCTGCTGCTGTCACGCTAATTTTTTTCATCTGGAGGGTGGCTCCTTATGGCAGCTCTGATTCAATTAGAGGATTACAGGGCCCTGTATCTCCCTTTCCTGACAGTGCAAGTGCGAATGAATTACAGCCCAATTATTTCCCCCTGATCCCTAACGATCCTGCGTGCATCCATGCACCAAGATCTATGGGAGAACTTAAAGAGAAAAAAAACAAAACCACAGCCATGCTCCTCTTTTTGGCACCTGGCCCTGGTTTTTATACATGCAAATTGAGTTTCCTGTTCATGGAACACAACCAAGCAAAACACCAGTGCAGAGAAGGGCATCCTCACGCTGGTCCTTCTCAGTGATCTGCCCTTCCTCAGGGCCCCAAGGGTGCCTGGAAAGCTTCTGCTCCCAAGGGTGGTGGGGAATTAGCAGAACACACCAGGACATCCTCCAAGGGGCTTTCCTGGTGCTGCAGCTTCATCTCCACCTGTGTAAAAGTTGGGGGCCGTGGGCTGGCTTCTCCCTTCCTGCTCATGTTCTTCCTGTCCCTTCTCCCCGTGTCCCCAGCACCATCTTAGTGCTGTATCATCAACTCTTATCCACAGGAATTTTGGCACATTCATATGTTTGTTTTTTTTTTTTCTTTTTTCCTGATTCCTGCCTCTGTCTTTCCTTTACTGGCTTTCTTTTTTTTTTTTTTTCCTTTTTTTTTTAAAAAGTGCAATTTGTCTCTTTCAGAGATGCCAGTTCTGGTAAAGCCACTGAGGACTGAGCCTCTCCCTCCCTTACCCCCAGTACTTCATTATTTATGACACATCAGCATCTCCCAGGCTGTCCTCAAGCAACTTGGACAATTCCCCAGAGCTATCAACCCCTGAGGGCTTGAAACTGAAGAGCAAAAGGCCTGAAAAGAGGGAGAACAAAAGCGTTTCTCTGCCTCTTGGCTTGTCCGATCTCACTCTGGACGCCAGCGGCTTTTCCAGTTGCATGTCCTCTGTTGGCTCATGTGGAGCAGGTCATTTCACAGGGATTTGTCAGGGGATCACTGGTTCCCAGGGATCCTCGTGTCTCAGTTTTGGACTCTCAGTGCCTGGGGAGCCTCTCCCCATCACACCAGAGAGAACTCGGCCTGGAAGCCGGAGCAGCGGCGCGTCTTTGGCGAGCACTTGGTCAGCATGGAGATCTGGGTGCTGAAGTTGGTGCCGTTGCTGCCCAGGGAAGGGTGGTGGTACTTCATGTCCGAGCCCAGGAACCGCTCCAGGTGCCACCTCCGCCACTTCCTCTTGAGCTCAGCTTGCACCTGGGCATGGGAAAGACAGAAAAGGCAGCACAGGGAATCACTTGGTGCTGTTCTGCCCTGATTGTGTGAGCAGCCATGGGTAACCCACCTGCCACAGGGCCAAGAATCACTTTATAAAGGCCACTAAACTTGGCTTGTGCTGAACTTCTAGCCATGAAAAGGGGACGCTCCAGCCAGTAAATTACTGGAGCAGAAATCCCTGAGCTTCATCAGAAAGGAATTTCTTATTGATAGAGTCAAGGTGCCAGACTGCTTAACTTCCGTTAACTTTATGAGTATAATTAAGATGCTTTCTTTTTCACTGCCCTGTTTTTGGTCCAAATAGAAATGATTTAACTACAGCTTGTTTTGTAAAGCTGTCAATACAGCTGGGCTCTTTTTGACAGAAGCTGCTTGTTGCTGTTCAGAGAGTTTACAGAAATAACCTGGTTTATGCTGTCCCAATCCAAATCCTGAACAAACCTGGCCACTGTCCTTGTCCCCTCCTACAGCCCTCCAGTGCAAATTTTTTGGTAACAGCATGAATTAGATGAAACAGCTGTGTCTGAAGGGCTCTGGGATAAACAAATACAGGAACACAATCCCAGGATGAGAGTGCCAGGACTAAAATGTGGGAAAGTCAAGATTATTCCTGCAAGGCAGAAACACGTTCGTCTGCACTGCTCTGTGTTTAACAAATCACAGCAATACCTGTGCTGGTTTTGGCAGTGGGTGTGATCTGGGGAGGATTCCTGGAGGGATCAAGCATGAACAGGGCTTAGATGGGATTTATCCTGCCCTGCTGAAGGTGGTCCTTTGGGATCAGGAATTGTGCAAGTTCACACAGGAGTTCTGCTGATGCTGTCTCATGAGGAAAGGATGGGCTCAGCAGCAGTGCTACAGTGCACACACAAGTCCTGACATGTTTATTAATTGTTTTTATTAATTGTGCTGAAAACTGTCAGGCAAATGGTTGAATTGTTTTCCTGGAGATGTGATTTGGATGCTCCCCCCAGTATTGTAACATCAGGCTCAGGAATGGAACACTTCTCAATCCACTCTCTCCACATGCATTCATTTCCTCCTAGCTGCAAACATTAACCAAAAACCACTGAGGGTCAGGTCTTACCTCTCCATTGAGAAAGCAGTACAGAACAGCCACCACAAATCCCTGGGAAAGGAGAAAACAGAATTTTAGCACTGCAGACAAGGAGAGAGTGTAGATCCATTCCTCTCTCAAAGGAGAGATCACACAATCACAGAATTATTACATTAAAGACCTCCAAGGTCATCAAGGCAAGGATTCCCCCAGCACAGCCAAGTCCATCACTAACACACATCCCCAAATGCCACATCTGCACAGTTTTTGAGCACTTCCAGATGCCAGATGTGCAGTGATGGTGAGGTAGACAGGGATGTTAATCATTCACCACTGAATGAAACTTGCTGCTCAAAGCCCCATCCACCCTGGCCCTGGACACATCAATAACACAAAAACTGAACTGAGGTGCTTTTTTTTTCTCCCTTAACTATGAAAAAACACAGAGACATTAATGTACAGAGGAACACTTTCTTTTCATTTCCTAAAATGAGGGAAGAGAATCTCCTTCTGGAAGGCAAAATACAAATTTATCTTTCATCCTGGCCAGGCTGGAGCGAGTAGATTTTCCACAAAGGTACAAGAGCAGTACAGGGCACACCCAGGAAAAACCCATGTCCAGCTTGCTGCATTTGTCCCTGGTGACAGAGCTGGTGACAAACCTGGTGACCCAAATGGCTTACCTGGAATGACCCAACCACGAGCTCAAAGACCAGCTTCACTTCTGCTTTGAAGTTGTCAGGGAAGAAAGCAAACATGATGTAGTGAATGCCAAAGAGAGGGATCAGCAGCAGGGTGGACTTGGCCAGCCTCCTGTTGGAAAGACAAACATGAGCCATGACAGGAGAGGGAAGAGGGTAAGAGGCTGAGGAATCCTGCAGCTGAGCCCTGTGCATCCCCGAAAATTTATCATTTCTCCTTGTCCCACAGACTGAACAGGGCTGGTGATTTCAGACCTGGTGGCACCATAAAATGTGACGTTTTTATTCCCAGCAGCTCCACTGCAGGTATTTCTTTCTTCCTCCTCTCTTCTTCCCCTCCCACCAGAGATCTTTTTTTCATCTCCACAAGCTAAATCATCATCTAGCAATGTCTTTGTTTGCCTGGGATTTCTGAAAATTACAGCTTCTGGGAGAGAAATGGTATGTTTAGCTCAGAATAATGACAGGCTACTGCACAATGAATGTCTCCAAAGGAGGGGGGCGAACAGTATTAGTGCTTAATGGCATCATGCTGGGTAATCAGGGGTCTAATTAGGAGGAGATGATAATGTATTAAATGTAATCATTATTAAAAAGTAGTCGGCAGAAAGAAAATTAAATCAAGGGTCTAAGGATGCTTGTGGGGGTTTTGTCTCCCTTGGTCACTCATCCTGTGACATCTCCCCCTCTCTCAGAGGCTTCTGGAGGAAATAAAGCTAAGTCTGGGATGTTGGAAATATTCATTTTTCCACCTGCAACCCTTCCACCTCCAAAGCCTCATCAGGCTCAGACCTCTCAGACCATCTTCATTTATTTGGCACCTGCAGGAGCCCACTGGGAGGCTGATGTGGCAGCTTTGTGCAGAGGATGCTCATCCCTGTGTCTCCCAGAGCTCTTCCCTGGGCCTGGCCCTGAGACAAGATCAACATTAAGGCTGTGGTTGGAGGCTCACCCCAGGAGAAATGAGAGCCAGCAGGAAGCTGAGGAACTTTGCAGGAATTTGTCTTTCCCACATCCCTCGCTAGCAGGCACATTCCTGCTCATAGGGATCCAAGAGTTCCCTTGGATGCTTTGCTCTGCCACAGGACTGTCACTGTCCCTGGTGATCATCATCCCTGCTCCTCACTCCCATAAGCAGCTCTGGCCAGTGCGACCTGGTGTTACCAAGCCCTAATCCCCCCAGCTCCTGACATGTGAGAACTCCCTCATTTCCCAAGCAGTTCGGTGAATATCAACAATGGCTTTGCAGAGATCTCTCCTCTCTCCCTATTCTCTGAGGAACATCAGCCTAGAGGAGATGTGGTGCTACCTTTGTGTACCACATTGACAGAGATGCTGTTTTCAACCTCCAATGGATTAGAAAATCTTATCATTGCAGACAACACTGGGGCCTTAATTACAATATTTTCCCTCCTGGCTGGACTGTGGTAATGAAAAGGACATAAATGACAGAACTTGAGTCCTCTCCTCCAATCTACACACCTCACACCAGTCTCTTGCTCCCAACACCAAGCTTCACCAGATATCGAGTTTTAGATTTTATTTTGACATCAAGGCAAGAGCTCTGTGGTTTTTAAAAGACTCCACCACCTAAACACTGCACTCAGGAAAATCATCACCCAGTCACAGCATAATTTCTCCCAGGAAGCTCAAGCCTGGCTGTGCAGGAGGCAGAACTGCTTGGGGGATTAAAGCTGGTTAAATCTGCTGGAAGCTGTGGATTCTCAGAACCCTCACTACTCTCATTCCCAGCACACCCTAGACCTCTCCTTTCTGACATTTATGTGGTGACAGGTAATTTTGGGAAAACAAGTGTCCATTAACCTGCATGGGACCTGCTCCTGTCCTTGGGAGTGGGCAGGAGTGAACCAACATTTCAATCACTGAAATCATAATGGAAAAGTTACTCAGAGGACTCTGATGATGATATTGATCCACAGACATCGACAGAATGGAGAGATGAATTTTGCTCAAGTTTTGTGTTGCTGAAGATAAATTCTATTTGCTTGAAATATTGCTGCCCCATTCTTGCACATGTCCCTGTCATTTCCAGAAGACGTTTTTAGAGCTTCCAGTACAATGAAAGCCCAGCTCCCTGCCTTGCAGCATTAATGAGGGAGTCAGCAGCACACCTGAACTTCCAGCCTGCAGCTAAACTCAGCCCTTTTGGAGCTGAACAATGCTGTCAGCATGTCAGCAGGCTGTGCTTATAGAAAACAAACAATATAAAATACACAGGAGAAGGAGGGAGAAATGCTAAAGAGATATCCAGGGTGCTGTTAGTTTAAAACAGATTTGTGTCAGACTTGGCAGGAGGAACCCACACAGAATCACAGAGTCATTTGGTTGGGAAAGACCTTCAAGACCATCCAGTCCAAGCTGTGCCTGATCCCCACATTGTCACCAGCCCAGAGCACTCAGTGACACGTCCAGGCCTCTCTTGGACACCTCCAGGGATGGGGACTCCCTGAATTTCCTCTTCTCCAGGCTACACAGCCCCAGCTCCCTCAATGTTTCATCAGCAGCAGTTTTTTTGCTAAGAGCTGCTGGGTTCTGCGAGCAAACCCCAGGCTCTGGACCCCAGAAGTCTCCAAGATTGCTGTCTAAAAGTAAAAATATTAGGACCAGGCTGATAACTCACCTTGGTGAGATCTAACCTTCAGTTTCAGACAATTAATATTTGTTTCCATAGGAAAGTGTGGTGTCCTGTACCTACTGCAGTGAATAAAGTCAAGATTTCCAGCTGCCTCATCCCGATGTGGCTGGTGGCCAGGTGCTGCACAAGGGGACAAGTGTCCCATCCATCCTATATCCTCTGTGACATGTCCAAGCACGTACTGGGAGTGTCCTGAAGCACCTCATATGGCTTGGAAACCTGAAGCTTTAAGGGCAGGTTGGAAGGAGCTCTGAGCAGCCTGGGACAGTGGAAGGTGGCTCTGCCCACGGCAGGGGGTTGGAACTGGAGGAGCTTTAAGGTCCTTCCCAACCCAGAATGTTCTGTGATTCTGTGAAGGGAGCAACTGATTCATTCCCTAATGGAGCTGAGCCATGTTTCCAGGTGGTGAAGGAAGGGGAGGATCTGTAGATGTCAGGATCAGCTGTCCTTCAGCAGAACCCCCTGTGGGGCAGGTCAGTGAGGGGAACTCTTTTACCAACACTCCCTACGTTTGTTTACAAGGCAAAAAGAGCTTCCCTGGCAGCTCCCAGCTCACTGGAAAATGTGTCCTGAACCCAAAGCCCAGCATGACCTCTGAGATAATCTGGGCATAACTCTTGAGATGCAGGTTGGCAGCACTTTTGCTGAGGTGAACAGGAGCCAGCAGTGCCAGGACGCTGCTCAGTACTAGAACATAATTAAATATGCTGATTTAATCAATGCACCTGCTGCCAACCTGGGGTGCAAAGATAAAATTCCCAATTGGAAATCCAGAAGGGGAGGTGGTAGAAAGCCCAGGGTCTGGTGATGTTGGTGTGTTGTGATGACAGAAAAAATAGGTAATTGGCTTTGGCTGCTGCCAGGAAAATTAAGGTCAAAAACTGGCATTTCCTATCATAAATCTGAGAATCTCTCGAGGCAGATGAAATGAATAATTCACCATCACCAGAGAGAAAATCTCAATGCCATGGCTAGGCAGGATTTAAGGAACATATTGCTTTTCATCCTTCAGGAAGATGAACTGAGATTTTTTTCAGTGCACCTAAAGACACAGCTCCCTCCAAAGACAAAGATTTATGAGCAGTGACCGTGCAGATGCTGGACTTTTCTCATTTAATTATTTCCTAGGAAATATTTAATTTATATCCTGGATAGATGAAAAGTGGAGCCAGAACAGTGAGAAGAGTCAAAAATAATCTGCTCTGGACTTTTATTTTATTTGCATTGAAGCCAGAATAAATCCAGGCAGATAGACACTTCTTTCAGTCCTAAAATACTGCAGCTGAGACCAGCCTTGGCCACTGAGAGAGATGTTGATCTCTCTTGCATGTTGTTCATTATATAAAGCTCCATTGAGGTCAACCCTCATATCCCTGGAATAAAAGCATTAAGTCAAGTAAAACTTCTAAGACAGTGATCCTTCTCAACAGAGAAGAGAAATGTATTGAGTTAATCCAATCTTGTTTAGAGATCTCTTTTAGGATAAGGGAAATTTGTCTTAGATCCTACTGAATGGTAATTTTCTAAATCTCTCCTTCTTTAAAACTGAGGGTCAGGGAAAAAAAAAAAAGCCTGTACACTGTGGAGAGGAACTTTTTGTTTTCCGTCAGGGCTCTTCTGCCTTCAGAATCCAATAAATATTAAATATTCAAAGAAAAATTATATTTGGCTTCATGATCATTATTATTACTCTCATTTCTTCATCATTAATCCCAGGAGAAATCCCTCTCACCTGCCACAAACTGACATAAAACCTGCCCAACTGTTTTAGCAAATGCTCCATTTCCTGATTTCTAATTTGCTTTAAGCAATTAAAATTAATTGATTTTGATCAGTGCAGACAGACGCAATCACGAACCAAGGCTCTGTAATGCAAGCAGCCAGGCGGGTTTCCCAAAAAAACACAGAGTAGGGTTGGAAAAGTCTGGGACTTACGAATATTGGCTGGTCTCATTGTGCCCAACATCTGGGGAATGCAGCTTCTGGACTAAGATACGGATGATGCAGATGAAGAGGATGAAATTCACCTGCCGAGATGGGAAGAGAGGGGTAAAACATCAGTGTTTTCCTCCAGGGGAAAGAGCCCATCGCTAGAGGGGAGCTCCTCTCACTGGAATGTCTTTGCCATGGAACGAGCTGTTGTTTAACAAGCCATGAGCAGAGAGCCCCGCCCGGGGGCGGGGAGCACATGGGAAACCGACACAGGATGGCATCTTGGGCCTGACATCAGCCTGCTTGGGACTTCGTGTCATACATCCCAAGTATGATGATGTCAAGCCCATAGAGCACAGCTCCGCACGACGTCCTGCAGCGCGCGCGGGAAGGAGCCTTGGCGCCCGGCGCAGGCAGAGCCCTCGGGAGGCGCTGGCATGGGACCGGCTGCTGAGCGTGGTGAGCCAGGGAAACCAAACCAGAACACCAAGCAGGATCCACTCCAGCGGGCCTCTGCTCAATCCTATTTGATACCGTAGGGTTTAGCTTTCGTATGTCTCAGATCCTGTACTGCTTTAGTATAGAACTCAAACTCCATGGCCTGTCAGCTGCTGTTCTCCCAGTTCCTCTCTAGGCCTGAAGCTCAAGGGCACCTCACTGTCTCAGGCCCTGAGGGATGCAAACAGAGAATTGAGGGGGCAAACTTGGGGTAAATGGCTTCATTACCTGAAGCTGTAATTGGAGGATTGACCCCTGGTTTGTAAATGGACCAAACTTATTATTATGTATGTAAAAACTCATAAAAATGTAAAAATTATATAAAAACTTATAGTATGAAAAACTCGTGACCGTTGTCCACCTTGGGTGTAGCCCCTCAGAGGCTTTTGACTGCCCAAGTTGTTCCCACTGAGGGCCTCTAATAAATACCCACTTTTATTCTCTTCATTTTGTCTAGCCTCTGTTTCAGGTAAACACCCCAAGGCATCATATATTGTCACATATCTCACATGTCTGGAGACCTTGTGCAGCAAGGGATAGATCACCAGGGCAGCAGGGGATGTTCCCTTCCTGGGATGTTAGACCAGAGCAGTCTGGCTGGTACTCAGATTTTACGTGGTTCTTTTCACCTCAAAAATCTCACAGCGCTCTACCAGCGTGCTCAAGCAATGTGAGCCCTATTTAATAGCAAAGGTGTAGAGCTAGGAATGGGAATGTCCTGATGGCATGAATTGAATGCAAATCTGATTCTTTCAAGGTCCTCTCCATTGAGTCATCCTGTTACTCATGCAACACAGACAACAGAAAAGCAATGACAGATTTCTGGGGACTTAGTTCACTTTTAGTTTGGAACACAACCCCTTTTGTTATCCTTTCATGGTCAGTGAATGCGCAAACGATGCTGATTTGTAGAGGCTCAGCAGCTGGAAGGGATTGTGTTAAATCAGCCAATCTGATTCCTTGCAAAAATAGATTACAAGATTTCTTCCAGCAATTCTTACACTTATCACAGCAATAGCTGAATAAAACAGACTGAAGCCCATCTCTCAAATAGACACTCTTTTTTCAAAGCCTATGAGTGACTGGATATTAATCCCATTTCTTGGTTATGATGCATTGCTTAATCACTTCTTACCTATCCTGAGCCATTTATCATCGTTCTGTTTGTATTTATTTCCTCAAAAAAAAAAAAAAAAGATTTGTGTGTCTGATTTGGTTGCATGTGAAATTTATTAGTCCAAACCAATATTATCTAGATCAATTACACTAATAAGCATTGCTAACAAACAAGCTTCTGCAAGGAAGGCAGGAATGGAGCAATTAAATTCTGACTGTGGGCTTGGAGCAATCAAAAGCAAACAAGGAGTGGAGTGTGACATATGGGCTTGGTATAACCTTGGAATTCCATGGTAGAAGATACAGGGATCAGGACACTGGAGAAGTTGTTTAGATTATTTTTTTATGCCTAGAGTATAATCAAAGGTGATCAATGTGTTCCCAGTGCTTAACACCTTGTACACGAGATATATCTCATGTACCTTAAAGCTCTTATAGATCTTGTATATGTATTTCTTCCTTACACTGAGACACCAGCTGTATTCCCATGGATTTGGAGGAAATGCTGCATTACCCCCTGGAGAAACCTGATGTTCATCAGCCAGTGGCTATCATGCCTTTTCCTTAGGACAGATTTATAGGGTATCTGCTGAAGGAATATCAGGGTAAATTCTTTTTGGCAATGAGGAAAAGATTTATTGGCCAAAAGAAAATACAGACCCATCGATCCAAGGAGAATAAAAGGGTGTGTTTTTTTGACTGAAATCTTATCTCAGGAAAGGGAAAATACTATCTATAGCTTTCCAGGATGACATAAATATTTGGAGATGTGTCATCTAAGTATTATATTTCTTTCCAGTGAGGTAAACAGAGTAAAATGTCATTATTGAAACTTTCAGTCGGGAATCTCTGCCTGATAAATGCTACAGAACAAAGAAATATCTTCTTGTAAAGGTCATAATGTACATGGAATAGGAAGAATATCTAAGCAAAGATTTCTCTTTAAAAGAAATATATTTGATTTGATTTCTGTTGCTTTTTTTTTTTGCTTTCCTTCCCACATCGTTGATTTAATTTAAGGAAACTCAAAGCTAAGTTTAACTCCAGTTCATTTGATTTTAAGGTTTGGCTCAATACCCAAAGAGTAATGTTCAACCAGGATGGAAGGACTCCGAATTCCTCGGAAGTGTCCTGGTTTTCATGGTCAGGCTTGATCATATCCAGAGAATTAAAATAGAAAAACTTGATTTTTCTGGAAATTAGCCAAGCTTCTGCAGAACATACTCCAAAAATACTCAGCTGGAATGCAACTCTGTTCTGGTGCAAGAGGCAAATTCCTGAGGGAATTCATCTACTCCCTTTTTATCTAAGTGGAAACTCATGGTAGGACTCATCTCACGTTACTTGGTAGTGTTGACATCTACAACTGAACAGGTCACCCTGGTCAGCTCCGAGAAACAAAACCTAGCACAGGTCATCTGATGGAATTCAGGCATCCACTGATTCCTCAGGCAAAATGAGTCTTTCCTGGATGTCCAAGCGCATCCCTCAATCTCTACTCGTGCACTCCCATGGTCACCCCACCAAGGAGATGGAGGTGGCCAAAGCTCCGTCAGGTGAGCTCCACCCTGGTCACTCAAACTCCTACCATGGTCAATGCTACAGGTGAAGGTGTTTATGTGGAGGAGGAGGAATTCCCTCATCCTAAGGCAAATGTTCAGTGTACAGTGGGATTTTACCTGGCAGTGCATGTTCCATGGGCATTTACAGGACTCTTCTCAACACCCCTTCACCCCTCCCCACTTAGGACTAAAGATGGCTTTGCAGCCAGCAGAATGTGCTGATACTTTACCAAAATAGACACCAAAATAGGAGTTTTAATGATCCACCAGAATGGGGATTCCACTATTTCCTCCCAGCACCTAAAAAGAAACAAAGCCAGACTTAAAACATCAAGCACAGCAAGCAAGCATGTCTGTAACCATCTCACCTTTCCCTAAAAGCTAGGTTTTGCTAGGCAGGGTTGTGTGAAGAGGACTAAACCTCATGTGCATGGACTGGGAATGGCCAAAATTTGCTCTGCAGTGGCTGTGAACACTGGTAGGTACCAGAGATCCCAGATGTAATGCCAGTTTTTTCCCCTTGGCCATGGAATGGGCTGGAAGATGTTAGGCAGGGTGAATGTGGGGGAGGATGGTGATTTTCTTAATTTCTCCTACACTGAGCCCTGCTGCAGGGAAATTCTGTGGAAACCATGAAAATCAATCAAAATCAATGGAAAGATTCATCAGGGCTCTCCACCATCCTGGATGGAGGGGGTTTGATAAGCACAGAGCAGAAAAAAAACCCAACAAAACACAAAAACATCACATCCTTTTGAAAAAAATATAACAGCCAGTGGGGGATTGGTCCCACTAAATCCAGCAAGCTGCACATGAGCTATGGACTGAGTTAGGAAAGTCCACAGGGTCCAGGGTGGGATTTATTTCATCCTGAAGCCGGAGCTGTCTGCACACCCCACTGCTCACCTGGGAGTGCATTTGAAAGCCAGGAGGAAATGAGAGGAAAGGACTGATGTGTGACTGATATTGCTTGGGACACATTTATCTGCACACCCAGGTGATAGAAGGTGCATTTTTAGGAAAGCATGGAAATTGGGCTGCTTTCATGTAAGAACAGGTTAGTGGAGCCTACTGCAGACAATTTCACCCAGATTCAGCTCCTCTAATTCCAAATGTTTACAGTGAAGGCAGTAGGAAATGAAGAGAGGCACTTGTAGGGCACAGTTCTTGAGAGCTATTTTAGGCATCAACTTTAGGATGATAAAAATTGCAGTCCATGGACTACATTGACTAAATCTGCCCTAAATCTACAGGGAGATGGAGAAAATTGCTCCCATACAGATGCTTCCAGTGAGGTGTATGCTGCCCTTTCATTTAGAATTAAAGTGGCCCTAATTATGTCTAGTGCACTTCATTTTTGAAATAAATTGAGACAGTCTAAATGAAGGTCACTTTCAGTTGAAGTTAGAATGTTTAAATAAAGGCTTGGTGTTGTTTAACCAATCTTACCTAATTAGGGTTTATTTAATCTGGATTAATTTCCTGTAATTTTTCTCTGCAGGTAATGAGAAAAAAAAAAATCCATGTTAGGTATTAATATATTCTGTAAATTCATGCTGTTTTACTCAGCACAAAAATCTAGGGCTTTAATGCCCCCAGAAAAATGCAAGGAATTCTGTGTTTTTATTAAGAATTGTTGGAGCTGAATGGGAATATATAGTAAGAACAACTGATTCCAGAATGGTTAAACCCTCCTGTCTCTGTCTCATTCTAGAGGCTGTTTATTAACAAAGTAAATAAGGTCAGTTTTATGCAGATAGAGTGAAACCATAAAGGAAGTGAGTAGCCCTCAGGAAATGTGCTGGCATGACTACAAATCAAAAACGCAGTGAGAAATCTAAGATGCTTCTCGTACCCAAAAAAGGGCAAATCAGGACACATTTGGAGGGGAAAAATGCATTTGGAGGGGAGAAAGTGGAGTTAACTCCAAGATGCAAATGTAAGAAGTGAATGCACACTGAGGACAGAATAAACACTTGATTCTGCATCTCTCTGGGATGTTTTCCTATAAAACCCTTTCCAATTACTGCAGTCTGACCACTTGAATAAAAGCAACAATGAGGATTTCAGGATCAAGTTCTTTTTACTTGCACACATCCTTGGATAACTCTGGTATCTGCCTCTTTCTCTTAGCTGCATTCTATCTGCTTCTTATGCAAAATATCAAAGGCTGCTGCTAGGTTAAAAGGGATGAAGGATAGATCCTAAAATCTGCTTGAGAAAAAGGAAAGGAGCAGAAAGGAGCGGAAAGGAGCGAAGAGAAGAGAAGAGAAGAGAAGAGAAGAGAAGAGAAGAGAAGAGAAGAGAAGAGAAGAGAAGAGAAGAGAAGAGAAGAGAAGAGAAGAGAAAAAAAAGAAAAAAAAGAAAAAAAAGAAAAAAAAGAAAAAAAAGAAAAGAAAAGAAAAGAAAAGAAAAGAAAAGAAAAGAAAAGAAAAGAAAAGAAAAGAAAAGAAAAGAAAAGAAAAGAAAAGAAAAGAAAAGAAAAGAAAAGAAAAGAAAAGAAAAGAGCCTTTTTCAGTGGGAGAGAATGGGGTGTGTTTATTAATTTCCTGATGTTTAGTGTCAATTCTGCAGGGTGCAAAGCTCTGCTCTGAGCACGGGGCCAAATGCAACCATCAAGGTCTGCTTACCAATTCCCTGCAAATATCCTGAGCTAGGCACTGGGAAGGAAAGAGGGAGAGTGATTTGCCTAAAATGACATTTCAGGGAGACCTTGGAGTGTTTCCTGGTTCCTGGTGGCAGGGGAGAGGTGCCACTGAGGAGCTGCTGGGTTTTGGGTTACTACAGCTGCAGGGCTTTCCTTGGTCATAAAGGAAAGCAGATTTATAAAGGAAAGATAATTGAGTGCACAGGCTTACCCAACATCGAAAAAGTAAATCCTGACTATAGTCCAGGCAGTGATGAACACGGAGGGGGCACCTGGGGAGAGAAGAGATGGTGTTGCTGTCAGAAATCATGATCAAATGGTTACCTGATTTCATTACCAAATTATTTAAAATCTGCCCCATTTCTCAGGGCTGTTCTCCCTCGCTGCCCATCTCTCCTGAGTGACTGATGGGATCCCTTCTCTCAGGGCTGCCAAAACACTTCACACTTTCAACCCTCACATGCCAAACAGGCCACGCTGCCTCTCCCTCCCTGTGGTCAGCTCTCTGCACATTGCACTCTTCTCCCAGCACATTGATATTCCCTTTGCAGTGCCTAGAAAAAGCTTCCAGGGGTGAAATGCAAGGAATCAGGATCACTTGAGACACCTACAGTGTGGACACCTGTACCTAAGGAGAAGTTCCTCACCACAGGCTCTCTTCAGCATCAAGGGCAGAATTACGTGTTTCTTACACACAGCTCATCCAGCTACGTTAAAAGTTTGATTTAGAACAATAAAAATGAAATATCCCTGGAGTCTTTTGCCCTGTAAGGGGACTGGAGTGCCAAGTTCACACTCAGCTTTCTGCAGCTGGTGAGGTGAAGCTGCCTCTACTCCTCACTCCATGATCTGCCAGGTTAGGGTGGTCTTGTCCCTTTGCTTGTCCCATCCTTTTGCTGGCTCTTTATTCTCTCTTGTCTTTAACTGGATTTAGGTTGGAAATACTCCAGGAAGGACACATCTGTTCACTCTGTGTTACCTCACACAGGGTGTCCACTTTATTACCAGTGATTTCCAAGTGCAATCATACTAAAGTCAGTAAAAACTGTAATTAGCGCATCCAAATTATTAATTCATGTGTAGTAGATGGATGACTGAAAGGCCAAAAGTTCCCTTCAGCATTTGCCATGTCCTGGAATTGCTCTTTTGTACCCAAGCAACCTGAGGACACATCAGAGTCCAGGAAATTTCCTTTGATTTAAATTGTCACCTTTGTGCATTTTTCTTTAAAACCTGCCAGCTCTCCAGCGCTGAAATAAAGAATATCTGGAGCACAAGGTGAGTTTAATAAAGGTCTGACCTGAGTAAGTGAAGGAAGACCTGATCCCATCATCCCTCCTTCTGCCCAGAGCAGGGAGAATCATCTCTCCTTTGCAGTGTGAAGCCAAGTGTAGCTCCTGTCACTTTCAATGGAAGTTACTCCATGGATAATTGATCAAATCCTGAGCCCAGGCGAGTCCCTGGACATGGCACAATTTTATTTTACCTTTTCTTCTCCAGATTCTTCCCTGCTCTTATTATTTCTGAGTTTCAGCTATTGAGAGCTGGCAGTAGAAAGTTATTTGCTTATTTAAATGGAAATCTTCAACTAAATGGCAGGAAAGGGGAAGAAAGATCTGTGTTTCCTTTTTGGAGAAATGAAAGAAGTTGATCTGGCATGATTAATTTGCATAAGTCAGCAATTTGGTTGTGAGTTAATTTGTGAAGAGCCTGATTCTCTCTTCCTTACCTTTTTTCTTATTTTATTTTGTGGTCCTCTATTTATTTTATTTTATTTTATTTTATTTTATTTTATTTTATTTTATTTTATTTTATTTTATTTTATTTTATTTTATTTTATTTTATTTTATTTTATTTTATTTTATTTTATTTTATTTTATTTTATTTTATTTTTTATATTTTATTTTATTATTTTATTTTATTTTATTTTATTTTATTTTATTTTATTTTACTGTATTTATTGTATTTTATTGTATTTTATTTTTATTTTATTTTATTTTATATTTTATTTTATTTTATATTTTATTTTATTTTATTTTATTCTTTATTATTTTTTATTATTTTATTTTATTTTAATTTTATTTTCATGACATGATTTTAATTTAATTTAATTTGATGTGTTTGAGACTGGATTTGCATAAAGGCTGGAGAAATCACCAGTGCAGGGAGCAGAAGGTTATCAGCATTAGCACACAGGTGATGGGATCTCAGGGCAGCTGGCTGGCCTGGATTCAGTGTCTGGTTCAGTCCAGGAGCTCTGCTCTGCTGGGATCCATCCTTACAATTTGAAATCAATCCATGATATCAAACTTGGGATCCCAGTCAGGATCAAAGAATTCCTTCCCAATATCCAATCCAAATCCACTCTGGCAGTTTAAAGCCATTCCCTGTGTCCTGTCCCTCCATCCCTTGTCCCCAGTCCCTCTCCAGCTCTCCTGGAGCCCCTTCAGGCCCTGCAAGGGTCTCTGAGCTCTCCTTGGATCCTTCTCCAGGTGAACCCTCCCAGCTCTCCCAGCCTGGCTCTGGAGCAGAGGGGCTCCAGCCCTTGGAGCAGCTCCATGGCCTCCTCTGGATCTGCTCCAACCACTCCCCATGGCTCAGATTTTGGGGACCCCATGGCTGGCTGCACATCTGCAGGTGGAGTCTCAGCTGAGGAGAGCAGAGGCACAGACCCACCTGCCCCAGCCTGCTGCTCACGTGTCTTTCCATGCAGCCCAGGACACAGCTGGGTTTTTGGGCCTCCCCAAATCCTTCTGGGGACTGAGGGAGGCTGGGTGCTGTCTACATCTCCACCCCACCTGAGAGCCCAGGCATCTGTGCTAAATCTCCCTAAAAACACCAGTCAGGGTCCCCTCCTGGCATCCATCCTGGAGGAGATGCCTACCCCAGCCGATCAGGATGTACCACCAGAAATACTTCCTCTCCGAGAAGAAGGAGATGACCAGCAGGGTGTGAAGGTACAACCCCTCCACCAGCAGCCAGAAGAAGTTGGCCATGACACAGTACTGGAAGAAAACCATCATGGCCTTGCAGCCCACCTGGAAGAGAAGAAATGAGCAGTGGTGAACAGCAGGATGTCCCCATGGGAAAGAAATTTCCACCAAATGACCAGTGAGCCTTGCTCTGGGTGTACCTTTGGGACAGCTTTTGTGCTTTGAACTCCTCCTGGAATGAATTCCACGGTGAAAAGCCAAGTCTACAAAAAGTTGCTCCATTTTTGGAAAAGAATGACTGGGATATATAATTTTAAAATAAAGAATAAGCAGGAAAAGCAGGGTAAGCACACAAAAGCATGCACAGCTTTTATTGCTCTGGAGAGGGAGAGATTTGAAAAGGGAAGGTGAATTGTTTACCTTCAGGAAATGAATAATTAAACACAGTAACTTGCTGTGTGGAGATTTCACTGCTGCACAGGTAATGGGAACAGTTCTCTTAGCAAAGAAATAAATACAAATGGAAATTTCTGACACTTCAGGGAAATTTCTGACACTTTTCACCCACTGCATCATTACACATCCTCCAGATGTTGACTCAGCAATTGCCCCTTTGCTTTCAGTGGGTCTGCCTGGGTGACACCCTGCACTTTCTGGGCCAAGTGTTTGCTCTCACTCCCTGGCACTTCCCTGCTGTCCTGCACGTGCAGAATGTTTAATTTAGAGCAATAATAATAATAATAACACCAGTGACAAGACCCTATTTTCCCCTCTACTCCTCTCCTGCTGGAAGCAGTTGCTATGAAGCACTGGTTGGAAGGAGATGTGGAGATTTTTCAATGCCACATGTTTTAGGAGGGGCTGTCCCCACCCTCAGCCCTCCCTAAACTCATCAGTGTGTGACACTGGGCTCCTGATAATCAACTTCTATGCACATCAGCTCCCTCCTGTGAGGCACAGCATAAACACTGCTGGGGGGTGGTGATGGGGAAGGTGGAGGCAGAGCAGCAAGTGAACTCCCTTCCAACTCAGAATATTCTGTGTGTGACTTCAAGGACTGCCATGGAGGGGAGGTGGCACAGGGCTGAGCTGGCACAGGCTGGGGATGCAGCAGCCTCACCCTGATGGCAGCACCACAAGTTTGGTTTCCCCCTGAGGCTGTGTGTGGCTGTGTGACATTGCCACCCCTCCTTGCTTTCCCCCAAAGCCTGAGTGCCTGCTTGGTGTGTCTGCAGCCAGCAGGGATCTGAATTCCTTTATGGCTTCACTCTCTTGGTGTTTGGCCCTAATTCAGCAGCTCCCAAGTGAAACACAAGGTTGAAGGGGGCAGATTTGATGCATCTCAATCACCTGCCCGTAAAACAAGGATTTCCTTTGGGGATTGTACACCAGGGGATCGCTTCTGGGTGTTTGCACTGAGCTGATGGCAGAGGCAGGAGGCTGGAGCACAGCACAAGGGACTGCAAGGTTCACAGGACAAGGGAAGGCTGCTCACAAACAGTGCCCCTGATTTCTGCCCAGCAGAGACTCAGCAAGGGATTTCCAGCCTGACTTTGCAGAGCTATTGCTGTACAGAGAGAAAGCTGAGCTCAACTCAGGCTGTGGCAGCAGAAATTGCAGATCCAAATCCATCCCCTCTTCTCCCACTGCTGTCAAATATCAATTTTGTGGCAGTCTCTGTCACTAATCACTCCCTTAAAGTGGTGGTGGCTTGTCACAAAGCTGAAGTGGATCATGGTTAGCAGTTGGATCCGATCATCTCTGAGGTCTTTCCAACCTTAATGATTTTATGGTTTTATTTCTCCGTGCACATGGGCAGCAGCTGGGTTTTGGCAACTTCTCTGCAGGACCTGGAGCAGATCAATTCTTTGCTCCTTGCTGAGGGATATTTATTTATTTGAGCAGTTCCTACCACTCCTGGAATTTTTGGTTTTACCTGGAGAAAAGACCTTTTTGTGCACCATTCTGAGTGCATGGCAGTAATGCCTTGCAGCCAGGGATCCCCCGTGGCACGGGGGGAGTTCTGCACTGGAACAGAGCTGGATGCAATCTCCCATGCTTAAAATTAAATAATGACATTTTTCCAGTGCCTGGGCTTGCTACTGTTGCCTAAAGTGGGTAAGTTTAAATCAGGTATTTCTATGAGAGGTGAAATTATCAATGATCCCACTGATCCTTTTTCTGGCACATTTGGAAAACAGCCCTACCTGGCTTTTGGGAAACTTTATTCCATGCAGCTCTTGGTAATGGGTCTCCACCTTCCTGATTGATTAAATTCAGCCTCAGAGAGGCTGGTTTAATGCTGGGGAATAAAATCCTCTTTTATGTAAGATTCCTTACCCTTTAGATGACAGGCACAGGGCAGAGATGAGCCATTACAGCTCTAGAATTTATTTTCTTTCATAAAGAGCAGACTTCATGATGTGCCACTGTTGAAAAACTAACACGGGCTATTTTTAGCACAGACATTTTCGAGAGGAAAAGCTGAATTACATCACTGCTTCTTCCACTCTCTATTCTTCCACAGGCTCCTTTACAGCTTATTCCCTTGTCCCTCCTCAGGGATCTTGCTCCTCTCACGTCCACAGGAGATGTGGCAGTGAGATGGGTTTTCCCTTGATTTTGTGGAGGGCACATCTACTCAAGTGGCTCCTCTCTTGTTCCTCTCGTTAGAGATGCATCAGACATGTGCCATTTGTTTTCCCCATGAAAATCCCTCCCTTTCCACGTGTGCTCCCAATGGCTGAACACTGGGATGGGCTCTGCCTGCGCTGGCCTCTTCACCCCTCCTGACAAACTCCTTGGCCCCAACACATTTGTGCTTCTCTGCAGATTCCTCGTGGTCAATAAGAACATTTCATCTTGATTATTGTAGAAGTTTGCTTGAGGATGGGGCCTGTCTTAGATCTGCTCAAGGGCTGTCAAGAGGAAGAGGCAAAGAGAAGGGACACAGGGGTGGGAACAAAAAGACAGAGAAACAACCCTGCCAGGCTTTTTCCTTGTGCCCAGTAGCACATTTTACTTTTGAATAATGTTAGCCCTGAGAAAAACATCTTTCTCTTCATTTTTTAGGTGGGCCAACTGGTCACTACATCAGTTTTATGGCCCACCTATAAAAACACAGTTCAGATGCTGGAGGCAGTAATTAGCTCAGAGCTGAATGTGCACTAAATATACATTTATCATTCTCCTCAGTGGCCGTAACTCATTCATAACTCCTGAAGGATGTCAGTCTGGACCAGCTGATGAATTTCTCAAGCTCAATATGAGCAGCTTAGCTGGACAGGAATTGTCCTGAATTTTTGAAACACCCAACACACATCCATGATCCACCTCCTGTGAATGCAATAAAAACTCTATAAAAAAGGGCAATCATCTTCACAGAAATGCCAACACAAGCCTGCCTTGCCTTCTTTAGTAGGGATATGGTTTGTTACAGGTCTAGGATTTGGGTTCAGGAAGGATTTAGACCAAAGAAGTACAAAGGAGCACTTGAGTGATTGAAATCCCACCTGCCACAGCTGGACTGGGAATACTGGAGTCTCACTGCCCCAGTCACAAGAATTCCCATCACAAGACCTGACCTGTCCCTCCCTGGGACAGGGGAAAAGGAAAAGGATAGTACAGAATCATGGAATAGTTTGAGTTGGAAGAGACTTTTTAAAGGCCCTACCCTGTCCTGTGTATGGACACAACCCCTGTGCAGACCCCACGTTCCTCCCTCGTACCCACAACTCTGTGGCTTCCTGTGGTGTGGAAGGTTTGGAGCAGGGCACCAAGACATATTTATATTTAATATATAAAGATATATTAAAGACATCCCATGCAATCCTGGTCAGTGATGCAGCTCCTGGCCATTATTTATGGAGTTGGGACAGTGCATCCATCAAAAAATGTGGGCTCAGATTTGTCTCAATCCATCAATCATGAAACCTTGAGACCTGAAAATCCTCCTTTAATCCTTGGTGCTGTTACTGGAAGCAAGGAAGAGATTTACACTGAGATTCCTGCAGGTCTCTTCCACAGAAGACTGATAAAAACTGATTTTGCCAGTGACAGATTTATCAGGCACTTTTGTTTTATGTTGCCCAGAAGACACAACCTGTGGGGAGGGCTGCTGACTGATTTGTGCTGCATTTGCACACAGCAAGAGCTGATCTTATCCCCAGCCTGGTCAAAGAGGCTTCCTTGACCTTATTTAAAAGCTTTTCATAGATCCCACTCATGACCTGGAAGATGGGATAGATTTGGAGATGATGAAATTCAGAATTTCCAGCACAGGACTGGCCCAACCCTACATCTCCATATATGTTCCACTTTAGTTCCACTATATATAGTTTTATCCACTATAGCTCCACTTTAGACACTCATAATAATAATTAAATTTAGGAATACATCACTTTTGAGCTGTTCTCACACCTTGTGTTGAGACATCCACTGTAACCAAAGCATAATGAAATCTGTAATAATGGTCCAATACCCAAATAATTGCTCTGCTTGTAAGGTTACACAACATGATTAATTTCCCATCTCACTGTCATGGCACTGGAATTCATGTAAGTGTCAAATTCCCAATAAGTTTATAATCAAACTGCTCTGTGCATGGCTAAACACAGCCCATTAATTTCTGTGCATGTGGCATGGAGGTGTCAGGATGGACTTGGTTTCCAAACACGTGGTTTCAATTTTCACAGGGGATTTTTTCTCTGCTTTTAATTTCACTTTTAGTTCACAAAATCAGAGAATCATTTGGTTTGGAAAAGACTTTTATTATAATTGAGTCCTACTGTAAATCCAGCACTGTCAAGGCCTGGATGTCCCCAAGTGCCTCTTTTAAATCCCTCCAGGGATAGGGACTCCACCACTGCCCTGGATAGCCCCTTCCAATGCCTGACAACCCTTCTGGAGAAGATTTTTTTCCCTAGTATCAAATCTAAACCTCTTCTGATGCAACTTGAGGCTGTTCCCTCTCCTCCTGTCCCTGTTCCCTGGGAGCAGAGCCTGACACCCCCATCTCCCCCCTCCCGCCAGGGAGTTGTGCAGAGCCAGAATTTCCCCCTGAGCCTCCTTTGCTCCAGGCTGAGCCCCTTCCCAGCTCCCTCAGG